TGGAAAGACCTAGAAGAAACTAGTAACTGCTTTTTTGTTGGAGAGAAAGGTTTGGAGGAAAAGGAAGACGTTGCATTGTATTCCATTTTATACTTCTTAGTTTCCAAACAGTGTTATATATTACTCGTTCAAAATATAGTTTAAATATTCAAAAAAGAAAACTGCTGGTTTATACCAGCTTTATTTATAATTGCCAAAACTTGGAAGCAACCAAGATGTCTTTCAGTAGGTGAAGCGGCTGAATAAATAAACTGTGGTACATCCAGACAATGGATATTATTATTATTGTTATTTTATTTTATATTTTTGAGTCAGAGTCTTAGTATGTTGCCCAGGCTGGTCTTGAACTTCTGGCCTCAAGCAATCCTACCACCTCAGCCTCCCAAAGTGCTGGGATTACGGGTGTGAGCCACCATGCCTGGCCTTGGAATATTATTTAACACTAAAAAGAAATGAACTATCAAGCCATGGAGAAAATTTAAATGGAAAGACATGAAGAAAACTTAAATGTATATTACTAAGTAAAAGAAGCCAGTCTGAAAAATGCTACATACTACATAATTCCAACTGTATGACATTCTGCAAAAGACAAAACTATGGAGACAGTAAAAAGATCAGTGGTTAACAGAGGTTGGGGGGAGCGAGATATAAATAGGCAACATATGAAGGATATTTTAGGGCAGTGAAACTACTCTGTATGGTACTATAATGGTGAATACATGTCATTATGCATTTGTCCAAACTCAAAGAATATGCAAAACCAACAGTGAACTCTATGCAAGGTATGGACTGTGGGTGTTAGTGATGCATCCGTGCAGGTTCATCAGTTGTAACAAATGTACCGCTGTGATGTGGGATGTTGATAGTGGACACGCTGACCGTAGACATGAACTCTTTGTAATTTATTCTCAATTTTGCTATGAACCTAAAACTAAAAAAAAAGACCCTGATTCTGAAGCAAATCCTGGTCGTTCTCTGGTTCTGGCATTGTGTGTTAATGTCTGTGGGCTGTGGTATAATATTTTTGATACTATCCACAATATACATATATGTATTTATACATATGTCTTCTGCTAAAAGCCATTGTATTTTTCCATTATCTATTAGCCTGGGCTCAGGGCTGCTGTAACTTTAGCTCACCCTGTAACCAGAATGTAGCTGGTCTCTAGGTTAAAGTGCCCATTCTCCTTTCTGGTAGTTTAGAGGAGTGGCGCTTCATACCGGGAATGTGGGCTCTACCGTCAGCATGCCTGGATTGGGATTCCGGACATCTCTCATTTCTAGCTGTGTGATCTGGGGCTTTTGTGTGATAAGAACATAACAATAGTTTCTATAGCGTACGATTTTGTGAGGATCAATGATATAATAGGTGTAAAGCACTTAGGAATGATTGGCACATACTTGGCACATGCTGCTGATGTGCTTTAGTTACCTGTTGGGAGCTTGAAAAAGAATCAGAAAGCCTCAGAAACTCGGAAATGAGTTTTCCTTATTCCTTCTAATGTTGTCTAGAGCACAGATTTGGAGTGCTGGTTTTAAAAACCTGCTATCATGATTGTGATCTGTCCAGCTGGTAAAATGAGTTACCATCAACTTCACTGCAGCAAGAAAAACAAAGGCATAATTTGCCCATAGTGAACAGTGAGTCTCTACAGCAAATCCAACTCAGGTCACCATAGGTTCTGTGTTGTGTTCGCCATGGGTCGGTATCATACTTGTGCCATGAAGTGTATTAAGCAATGCACCAGCTCTGGAAGCCCTGATGGTAATTCACTAATTCTACCTACTCTTAAACAAGAGAAATTGCCACTGTAATTACCACCTTAATGATATCTCTTTTGTTTTAATAGGCATATAACATTTATTTCCTCCACCTGGAAGGAAAACGGGGAACCCTCCATCTTTCAAACTCTCAAAGCCCAGGAGTGATAGAAGAGAGTTTTGAGATGCTGATTTGTCCTTCTTGTATTAGTTGCATTTTCAGTATTGGATTTAGAATCTCTTTGGGGTGAGGAGGTGTCAATCATTTAATAACAATGTATGAAAGCATCCTAGAACAATGCCTCACACATTGAAAGTGCTATGTAAGTGCTTGCTATTTTTTTGTTATTATATAATATTAAGTGATCGTTTTGGCTGGTTGTTTCTTTGGGTATAACACATAGACAAAGCAATGAGATGTTGCAACATCTCATTTTATGAGACAGGATCAGCAAGCATTCCCCCATCCAAGACCTATGCTGGACATTGCTAATTAACCATAACTCTCCCCTGTTGAGTCACAACTTGCTTACAAACCTCAACATACTCCTCAGGAAGCCATCACCAATCAATTGACTTTTGTACCTGAGATAAAAACCATTTGGCATTTCAGCTTCTGAATTTACAGTTCTAGAGAGATCTCAAGAAGTCTGACACTGAAAGTGAATAGGTGTTGTGAAGCCAAGTTATTCCAAGCATGCCCAAGTCTTCCCAGTTCAACACCTGAGTGAAACTAATGCCCAGCCTATTTGGCTACCTCCACACCCCAAAATGTTCCTGATTCAACCTCTTCACATTTGAGATTTTAAATTTTAGGCAGTGATGTTTGCTCAGCATGAAGAGGTCTGAATTTTGCTCAACGGTTTAGAATTTGTTCTTTTTTTTACTAGAGATTTCATTCTAAATGAAAAGACACTGGCTTGGCTTAGCAATGTGGATGGTCTGGTGCATAAAGTAAGAGAAACCCTTAATTGCATGCAGAAAGAATTGCTTGGAAGCTCAAAATCCAAAATTTGGGCAGCTTTACCTTCCTTGTAAGGTAAAAACTTATTTTTCTGGTTCTGTGTTTTACTAAATATCTTTCAACATTCTGTAATGTAAATTACAACTTATCCCTCAAAGGGATCTCTTACACTGTGTTTGCCCTTCATTGTGGCTAAGTTCTAGGGCTGAAGATCGCTTCTAGTTTATCTTTTGAGTTAAGTCACATCTTTGTTTTTCAGCTTCATCATTTGTAATATTAACATTTAACCAAGATTTTTGGGCATCACAGAAACTTAAAGCATATTTTAAAATATTTTGCATATATAAAATTCCATAAAAAGGCCAAGTAGACATGTATATATATATTACTTTGAAAGAACATTTTCTATTTTCGATTTTCAAATTCCTCAGCCCAGAATGAGGGAATATTAGCGACCATGAAGGAAGTAGCCTCCCAGTTCACAGTGACTGCATACTGCAATTGCCTTGCTCGCCACTCTAGGTTTCTGCTTCGTGCTACATTCATTTCCATGGGCATCGTTCAGCTGCACTGTAGTTTTCAGAAACAGTTGTATGGGGAGATTTGTTTCCCCTGTACATTCATTGCTGGTGCGGCCTATGAATGCCGATGACCCAGGAAGTTCTGATGACCTGGCTTCTCTCAGCAGTGTTCCAGATTTGCTAAGCTTCTTTCAAGCCTCTTTGGCTCTTATGGAAGGTGTATTTCAAAACCTGTCACAAGATTCCCCACCTAAGATGGCTCTTCAGTGTTGCTCCCTCCCAGCAGAAGCAGCCTTTGAGGTTGTTTGGTTTTGTTGTTTTTTGAGATAGGGTCTCACTCTGTCACCCAGACTGGAATGTGGCGGCATGATCACATCTTACTGTGGCTTGGTCCTCCCATGCTCAAGGGACTCTCCTGCCTCCGCCTCCTGAGTAACTGGGTCCATAGACATGCACTACCACACCCAGCTGGTTTTTATTTTATTTTACTTTTTACTTTGAGATAGAGTTTTACTCTTGTTGCCCAGGCTGGAGTGCAATGGCGCCATCTTGGCTCACCGCAACCTCCACCTCCTGTGTTCAAGTGATTCTCCTGCCTCAGCCTCCCAAGTAGCTGAGATTACAGGCATGCACCACCATGCCCAGCTAATTTTGTATTTTTAGTAGAGATGGAGTTTCTCCATGTTCGTTAGGCTAGTCGTGAACTCCTGACCTCAGGTGATCCACCCACCTCAGCCTCCCAAAGTGCTGGGATTACAGGCATGAGCAACCGTACCTGGCCCTGATTTTTTATTTTTAGTAGACATGAGATCTCTCTCACTGTGTTGCCCAGTTTGTCTTGAACGTCTTGGCTCAAGTGATCCTCCCACCTTGGCTTCCCAAAGTGCATGTGAAAGGCACTGCAGCTGGCCAGAAGCAGCCTTTGACATTAAGTCTACTGCTGCCTCCAGCTATGAAAGAAGTGTCAACCATCCTTTTAACTGTTTTTTTTTTTCCAGGCTGGAGTGCAATGGCATGATCTTGGCTCACCATAACCTCTACCTCCCTGGTACAAGTCTCCCTTGTAGCTGAGACTACAGGCATGCACAATTACACCGGCTAACTTTTGCATTTTTAGTAGAGATGGGTTTTACCATGTTGGCGAGGCTGATCTTGAACTCCTGACCTCAAGTGATCCGCTCTCCTCAGCCTTCCAAAGTGCTGGGGTTACAGGTGTGAGCCACCACACCTGGCTCCTTTTCACATTTTTTATGCATGGAGAAATAATAAAGAGATTAGAATTCCTAGGTGCCAGGTTATTATCCCTCTGATAGTTTTACAAAATATTCTAGGTGTAGACTGTGTGCAACAGGTTTCTTTTGTGTTTTCTGATCCTAGGGTTCCTGGGTTTCTGAGGACTCTTTTGTCTTGAAGCTTCCTTTAAGCCATGTTCTCCTTGCATGCTTGTCTGTGCCCCTACCTTTCAGGTATTATGGGTATATAGGGATTCCTTCTATCTTGAGTTTTCAGTTCTATTTTTTGAAGGAGAATACAAAATAGGTTGGGTCCTATGCCACCTATGCCACCATATCAGTGATATGGTTGTGTATATTGTTGTCATCAGTTAAAAGGGTGATCACAGGAGCATTTTTTTTTGCATAACAAGGCCATGAATTAAACAAAGAATTCACCAAACAAAGACAGACAGTAGGTCCATGAGTGAGACTGCTTTAATTGAATTGGTATTTGTACAAGGTGACACCCTGTTGCATACCACACACCTCCTCCCTAAGTGACTCAGCTGGTGAGCAAGAAACCTCTGAACTGTTCATTAATACAGTCAGGTAGAGGTTGAGACTCCACTGAATAAACTCCAGGTTCCCATTCGTTTCAGCCAGATCCTCCCAGGGAATCACTACAGGCTGGATAGCCAAAACGTCCTGGTTTTCTGCTTGATAGAGGTAAGTTGAATCATACTTGCAAACAGAAATACATCTGCTGTATGTGCACAGCTTTCTCTGTGTTCCTTCCAAATGATTAAAATTAGAACTTACTGTATTATCTTTGTTTTTTCTTCCTGTAAATTTTGACAGCCTCCAGCAGGCTGTTAGTTCTGCTCTTCCTTGCTGTGCTTTTAGGTCACATTGCATTGAACTTTCTGGCAATTTTTCACATTACGGGCATCACAGAGACGAGCACCTATTTGATTTTCTGAGTGGGAGCTGTCAGCTGGTGAATCCTGTTACAGAAAGGAGAATATATTCTTTAAGTGAAGGGACCAGCACCTGCTGGTTTATTTTCTCAAAGGACTACACAAACTTTTTTTTTTTTTAAGAATCTTTCTGTTTTCATAAATGATGCTTTTAGTGAAATGGTGAACTCAAATAGTGCTTTATAGATAATGTCGTATTTATTTTTTCCTCTACTGCTAAAAGCACTGCAAGTTGCTGAGCTATATTTATGAGAGGTTTATATTTATGAGGTTTTTGTCTCCACTCTGTCTTCCCCAAATAAGAAAATTACCTTTGCTGACTTGAATGTACCAAGGAGTAAAGTCAGTGTGGGGGCAGATTAGGGGTACATGGTTCCCCACAGGGATCTGTGGGCATGTGGCCAGCTTCTCTATGGTATATTCCGCCTTCTAACCTAAGGAGTGATTAATGTATACGGGGGCAACTTTCAAACTCTGTCCATAGCCTAGTCCTGAAAAACCCAGTTTTGGGAGACTTTTGGTGAGGATAGAAGAGTTCTTTAAACAGAGCTTTCTTTTGTAATTGCTAGCTAAGCTGACTTGTCTGACTTGTGCTTTTTCTGATTGTTTCTATCTGTGATACAGAGCTGTGGGATTCAAATGCAGCGTCCACTCACAGCTTGCAAATTGCAGCTCTGTGGCCTGCAGAGAGGTGTCCTCACAGCATACCTTTACTACTTGACTTTTCATTGCTTCCTATTGCTGACCAGGTCACCTGCAGTCTCACAGGGGTTTAGACACACTGGTGCTCAATTCCCAAAGGTATACTGGAGAATTTTATAACTTGGCTTTCAAGTGTTTTATAACTTGGCTTTTTCTGTTTTCAACCAGAAAATTAAAGTATAGCATTTGTGGATACTTTCATTTTTTCACAAAATGTGATTACTTTTAAAATTGTCTTTTACTTCCACAGTTTATAATGTAGATACAGCCTTTCTAATATTTGTGGTACTCCAGTATTTAAAGTATTGGAAACATCACTTTGAGAAAACTGAGAAATGACAACAGTAAAACTTTTAGTAAAACATTCAAATGATCCTAAAGATCAGTATATGCAGAGAATGCCAACAGCAGGTCAGAATTTTTATTGAAATGTTAGCCTCATGTAAATCTTAGATCTAATTGACAGACTATTTCAATTGAAATGAAGCATAGGCCCACCTTATCTAATGCCTGAATTTTCTAGATGAGAAAGACAAAGCATAAATGTTAGACAACTTGTGAAGAGCAGAGTAGCAAAACCAGAACATGAAGCCAGATTGCTTGTCTTTTGTCTCACTGAATTTTCTCAATATTTTTTCAAATACTTTTATCACACAATACAAAGTAGCAATAAATGAGCCACACTCCATCATGGACTGTGGTTACTCAGCAATATGTGGCAATGTTTGTATGGTATGACTAAGACATAATGAGATACCATTCCAACTTGTGGCTTGTGGAGTCAGTGTTGCTGTTTATTATATTTATGAAGTTTTCATCTCAGGAGCCTGTAGCCCCTCAGCAAGGAGGGGATCTGATGTATGTGTGTTAGTTGTGTTCTGTATAATCAGAACACTCTCGCCTTGACTGCCATTCTGTAGGTGCTGCTTACCCAACTGCTTTCTCTGACTACCAGAATTATAATGAAATACCTGAGAGGTTCATATTCCTGGGGACTATGTAAACAAAACAAATAATATGTTTTGAATGCCTGAGCTCATACTGTGGGATAAACTGAACACAGTTCACTAAACAGTCAACTTAAGCAAACATTGTTTAACTGAGAGCGTCCTATATGGTTCAGGCATCAACTCCCAGCATTTCTTTAGAGCGAGGGGATCAAATCTTTGGCCCTGAAGTCCAAGGGAAATGTTTATTGGTTCCACATGGCTTCACTTTCTGTCATTATCCTGCTTCTCCACCATCTGTTGATCATTTTCCATTTTCTTTTGCTGGGGACTTTGAAATGAGTATTTAATGTATTAATTGCTGCATACCTGCCTGCAGTTGTTTAAAGTTCACTTCTTAATCAAAAGACTTTTTTTTTGAGATGGAGTCTCACTCTGTTGCCCAGCCTCGGGTGCAATGGCGGGATCTCCGCTCACTGCAACCTCCCAAGTTCAAGCAATTCTCCTGCTTCAGCTTTCCGAGTGGCTGGGACTACATGTGTGTGCCACCACGCCTGGCTAATTTTTCTATTTTTAGTAGAGATGGGGTTTCACCGTGTTGACCAGGCTGGTCTCAAATTCCTGACCTCAGGTGATATAACTGCCTCAGCATCCCAAAATTCTGGGATTACAGGCCCAACCTTAATCAAAAGTCTTTATCAGTTATATTCCTTAAGTGTACAAATGGTAAACTGTGATTTTTCCACGAACTTGTGTTTTTAGGGCTCGGAAGAAGCTCTTCCTCCCATGGATGCTTTGCCAAATGACAGCTACATTTACTCAATTTGCATTTCATGTTGATTACTAAACTTTTTAAGGACATGAGTCATCCTTTTATTGTGATCCTTTATTGGAAGAGTGAATTTTATAGCGATATTTTCAATGGCAACTGGTTTTCTTATAGATACAAGAACCGATTGTCATGAATCCTCATTTTAACAGCATACTTGAGAGCTCTAAGCATCCAAATAATTTGTTCTTTGTCTGTAGACCCAAGTTTCCCTGGCTCTAAAATGTTATTACGTCTCCATCATATGAAACCTCCTGGGGAAAGGCAGTGAACTATAGGCCACATATTAGAAATACTGTATATAAAAGTTTTTTAAAAAATTGTATACAAATCCAGATAGACTTGAATTTGAACAATGATTCCATGTGGACCAATGGTGACATGTAGGAGTATGCCTAACTCACAGCACCAGCAGATAAAAAGGAAAATTTGGATTCTCACTGAATAATAGATATATAAAATTATATAATTATATATATACATATTTTATAATAAACATAGCATATTACATAATGGAACATGTATATATAATATGACACTCCATAGCACAAAAATATAAAAATCTAGAAAAAAAATCTCTACAAGAAAAATTTTAAATCCAGATTTTAAAAATAACAACATTTTATAGTAAGACATAAAAGTAAAAGCTGATCTTAAATGTCAGTTCTTCCCAAACTCTTTTATAGAATCTATGCCATTACAGTAAAAAGTTCCAATAGGATATTTATTATGGAACCTTAGACAATAATTTTAAAGTTATCTGAAAGAAATGAATAAATGAGAGTAGCTGATAGAATTTCTAAAAAGGAAATTAATGAAGGGTGCTGTGCTACTAGATATTACACATATATATATAATAAAAGACAATCATATAAATAGTTTGTTTTTATTGTAAGCAACTGAAGACAGATTTCTTGAGAAAAACAGCCATAAAGCACATTTGAGAATATATAAAATGTGACAAAGGACGAATCATATATCAATGAGAAAGGGATTTATTCTCCCATTATCAAAGTAAATACACATGGATTTGAGAGGTTACATAAAACAACAGAATATATTATAAAAATTAAAAGTAATGGTTAACCTCATGTTTGTTCAACAAATATCCTTCTAGAACTGATTATGTACCAGGTACTGTGATAAGTTTTGAAAACCAACTGTTGGAAAGATGGGCTTGGCAACTGCTCTTAAAACGTCCAGTGTGTGAGTTTGTGTGTGAGTGTGTGCGTATATATGCATGTTGGGGGTGAGAACGATTATTCAGCCACACACACAGACAGTCTTAGGTCAGGGTATGGAAATAACTCTTTGCTATTTGAACACAGTAGAACTCGTAACTCAGCCCAGGGAGGAAGAAGTAGGGTGAGTGGCAATGGTATCACAGAAAGCTTCCTGGAGGATACAGAAGGTGTGATCTGGAAGGTGAATGGAAGTGTTTCCTGAAGGAAAACGAAGGGTTGAGGGAAGCTCAGGAAGAAGAGTGTCTTCAGGCATAGAGAAAATAAGCAATACCTCACTCTATTGAGTGAGCAAGGGTTGGGGAGAAATGAGGCTGGAGGGTATGGTCTTGTCAGCCTTGTTAACATTTCGATTTTATCCTGACAGAAACGGAACACTCTTGAAAAGCTTTATGCAAGGTGATGACTACTTTGGCACCAGTGAGGAGCACGGATTAAAAGTGAGGAAGTCTAGAGATTGAGAATATAGCTGGGAAGCCACTGGAATAGTCAGGAGATTATAGTACTTTGAATTGGTGTCTTGGAAATAGAAACATACACAACAAGAGATGTTGAGCTGTAGAACTTGATGATTGCTTGGATTTCAAGGTTAGAAACAAGCTTCATGGATGGTCTACGACGATGACTTTTAAAGAGTGAAAGTGGAAGAAATTATAAAGGCAAAAATAGGGATTGCAAAATCGAAAGCTTCTGATACAAAATGTGTAATTAGAAGCTAAATGAAAAACTAGGAAAATAAGATGAATATTTCTGACGTATAAAGAAAATAAGAAATCAGTAAGAAATATATGATAATCATTTTATTTAAATTATCCATTGACGAATGGATAATTTATAAGAAAGAAAATGTCCTGTAAAGAGGAGAAAAATATGCAATTAAAATGATTCTATTTCACCTATTATATTATTAAAATATTAATGAATTATAATTCTAAATGCTGGCAAATGCATGGACACTCATATGCTGCTGGTGGATAATAAACTACGATAAGATTTATGGAAAGAAACTCAACAATAGGGATGGAGACTA